TGTATGAGTAATGTATATATGCATGTACGAGGAGAGTTCCAAAAGTGAGATATTTGAAAGAAATAAATTAAAAATTTGTTTTTTAAAATATGCGTATAAAGAATAAAGCTTACCATTAATTTATCTCTCCATATAATCTCCCAACAGAGATTCAAAAATTTGTTCCATTTTATGACATAAATTTCAAAATACCTTTTACATAAAAATTTGCTGAACCAGTTTTACGTCTCGTTTCTTACTTTTTGATCTGAGATAAAATGTTTTCTTGACAACGGTGTTTAACTTTCTAAAAAGATGAAAATCATGTGAGATCAAACGAGTGACGATTGTGTCTTCGAGCATGAAGGGACTATTGTCAATGCCGAGTGATTGTCACTTAAATTTTGCAAGAATTGTAACAGGCTATTCATCGAAAATGTCACTCAAAATGTTACTCATTCGAAATGTCATACTTTTTTGTAACTGCAACTCTACACACTGTGAGGAAAACTTTTGAAACTATTGAGACAATGGGCTGAGCTAAGATATTCTCTAACATGCCCTTCACGGTCCTGACCTCGCATCTCTTCTCCTTTTCATCTTTTTGGAAAGTTGGAAAAACATCTGTCGGGGAAACATTTTGTCTTGAATCAAAAAGTGAAACAGAACTGACTCGGAAATTTGCAAAATTTATATGCAAAAGATATCTTGAAATTAAACATTATACATGCTTGGATAGCCGCTCGAATCTGTTGGGAAATTTATATGGAGAGATAAGTTAACGCTTTTATTTTGGTGCACACGCACACACATGGAAAATAAAAATAAAATTTTAAAATTTAATTTATCTCTTTCAAGCGGACTTTACTTTTGGAACATCTTATTCCTATTGAACAAACTTCGTCGTACATTTATGTTGTAATTTATTATACCTCCTTCGCAGTAAGGACCTTGATATCCTGGCGGGCACGAGCACACGCCTGGCGCCGTGCAGTTACCGCCATTCATACAATTCGGATAACAAAGCGCTTTTTTACAATGGGGCCCTAGATAACCATCTGGACAGGGACCAGGATTAGGCTCTGTAAAAATAAAATTCAGTTAAAAGATGGCATATTATCCCGATGTCTGCACACATATCACACATACATATGTACATATACGTATTTAATATATATCTTTGTATACGATTAAAAACGAGAAAAATTTCGGTAACAGAACCGAATATGATCTCGTAGTTAATCCAATAAGATAACATTATTCTAATTCATGCAGTGTCATGCAGATTTAATCGATTTTTTTTTTCAAAAACCACGGATAAGCCATGGAACTGAGATCAATACGCTGTTATATTTTTATCTCTTATATCTTATGTCAAAACAGATAATTAATTTCGATTTATATAACCGATATAAACAATAACTTTATTTATAATTTTTTTTACAATTGTTTTAATATATTTTCATTTTTTAAAGATAATTACGTGAAAAAATTAAAATTGTGTGGTATATTCCATATACATATTTTATCTCATTTCCATGGAAGTGCAAACCGTGACTTTCTGATTGAATTTTACTTGTCGAGAGAGAAAGCTTCGATGTTTAAACATATTAAATTATTTCACGTTTGCACGTTCGGCCTGCTATGCTGCGAATTACTGATGTATTATCGCAGAAGCGATTATACGGAACGTTCGAGAGCATCGTATGCCGCTACGCCCATCTGAATTCGAGTAGATGAAAACAATTACGTGTCACGTGGATCGTTATTTGCTAGTCTTTTCTCATTCGTGATTTGTATGATAAATTCGACCGATCGCACATGCTGAATAAATCCTTTCAATCCTCGATATTGTCGGGACATTTATGTATGTAAAATAGCGGATAAACACATACTTGACTTGATGATTGGCAACACGAATGCACAGAGATTGAGAGAGCTGAAAATGACGCCGAGAAAGCAGAGCAGACTCGTGCGTTCTTTTGCATTAAGTAGGCAATTAGGCACTTAATTCATAATTCGCGGGCGAACAATGACTCGAGGAAGCGTACGACTGGCCAACGCTTAACAAAGTGCCAGGCAAGACGAAAAAAATTAATAAATGCTAATGTAGAAAATATAAGCACATAAAACGGGAAAAATTACCGATCTGTAGTAACGTTTTAGTGGAAAAAAAAAAAAATATATATATATATATATAAAAGCCAAAGCGAATAATATTCTTCGAACTTCAGACAATATAACAACGGTTAATTGCCTGGTTGCGAAATGAAAAGCAAAGATTGGCGTTGAGACATAATTCCGCCGAGTTCACATTTATCGGACGCCTCGTGCGCGTGCGATAATGATCCTTATTCGCGGATAAACGAAACCCGAAGTTCGGTAGAAGATCCTTCCTCGCGTACACGCAGCATCGGAAATTGAGCTCGCCGAAATTACGTTCGTTCCCTATCCTTGCTCATCATCAGCAACACTCGTGTCTCATTTAACACGCCTGATACAGCAAAAAGAGCGATCGATATTACTCAACACTTTAACGCAATTATTACAAAAGTAGACAGTTGTATTATATACAAAGATAGCGTTAATAGAATCTGAACGAGAATGCTTTTACGCAAAAGGTAAGCTTCACAAAAGCGGTCCACGTTTTCACCTTGCGAGCGGCGATGGGTCCGAAACCTGTGGGCGCGAAACTGTCAAGTCCATCGTCGAGGCGACGTTACAAAATATCGTTGCATTTTAAAGATCGTTATTTGCATACATATTTTATGTAAGCAAATACACGCGATACCCGGAGAAAATTTGGGGACTCAAAGAGACGTCTCATTTCTTTTTCCCGTTTTCGTAACCGATACCTCGAGATGACCCTTGTTGCGACGCGACAATAGAAACGAGAGTACACGCGTGTAAAATTAGTCACAAGTTTCACGAGGGCGTTGGGAAAAAGTCCAAGTCGAAAGTTAATCGATTCGCTACTCCCTTTGACACCTTGACAAACGTTAGGATCCTCGTTTGGAGCGGGATCTCGTCGCGATGATCGAGGCTCGGAGCAACCGTTTAACACGACGTAACACCCATAAATCTCCCGGAGTACCGTGCGGAGCGGACTATGCGGAGAAGATTCGACGCGCCTCCCTCGCACAATTATCGGACCCATCGCCATCGTTCCGGCCGGCAGGCGGGCAGGTATACAAGGTAGATATAATCTTTCTCTTACAAAGTATCAAAACGCGCGCGCATATCAGGTACATGCCACGGCTGTCGATTAAATAAAAAAAGGAGGAGAGGCAGTCGGAACGAATGTACCGTCCGCGAACCGGATTTCGTGGGCGCGTTTTACGCTATCCCGCTATATGTACGCGCGGCGCGACGCGACGCGATGCAGCATCCTCGCCGAGCGGAGGCGAGGGAAAAAGATCCGAGATCCGCAACTGGCAGGCCGGAGGAGAGACCCGGCCGGCCGCCGAGAGACCGATTCCCCGACCGCCTCTCCCGCATCGATCAAGAGCATGCAGCAAATTAGGCGATGAATTACTGCTGATACAGAACTGTATGTGCGAGTGAAGAGGTGGTGATCGTGGGCGCGACTGACGCACTCACCGCGCACGGTGCATTCTTTTCTCAAACGGAGACGGAGGGGCGTCCCGTTTAGAGGTTTCCCCTTGCGGGTCTCGATCATCAGACTGATCCCGAATTGCGCTACGCCCGAATTGCCGGCGCAAGGTAGAAGAATGCTGAATTCTGCAACGGAAAACAAACAGGGTGAAGGTCCGCTCTCGCTGTATCATAGCTGAATCTCCTCTACTTCCTATCCCTCCTCTTTCTTCCAACCTTCCGACCTTCGATCGTACGCGTTTTCCATTTTAATTTTGACTCTTAATTTCGATCCCGTTGAAATGTTTATTTAAATTTTATAAATTCAACTCATCTTTGATTTTTATCTTCAATTTCAGAAAATATAACGTAACGCGACTATAAGAAGCAGACGTATTGCCGCGCGAGGGTTTCGGTTCCCATTAGTTCGATCTCTTCAGTATAATTGTGCGGCGTAATATTTACTTGATCTAAGAGAAAACTAAAGTACATTTTTTATCCATCCAATCTAAGAGGAAACTAAAAGTATGTTTAATTTTAATTGCGCGCAAACCTATGACCGTTTCAGATATTATCGATCAAACTGATGTGCGTAAAGATAAAAAAAACCGCGTTATATAATCGCAAACATAAAATTGCTTTATTAAAAAATAGAGAAATAATTATCTTCGTATATGATTAAGAAGGAGAAATGTCGGTAAACAGAATCGAACACGTTCTTGTAGTTAATCTGATAAGATAACATTCAATAACATAGTTCTAATACGTGCAATTTCATGCGGATTTAATCGAATTCCTTTTCACGCGGGGACAGGACAAGTGATATTTATCCGCAATGTATTTATTTGAGCTGCGTTTAGTATTTAAAATCGTTGAAAAATCACCGAAGCTCGGCTTGGTCCTCAGGTGTCGTAATAAAAACTTACTCCAGTTGAACGAAATAATCTTCGGGCAAAAAGGAAGACGCGGACGCGGAGCATTTCTATACAAAGAATATTTTCTCGTCTTCTCTCTTGGATCAGGTAGATTTCACGCCGCGCGTGAAAGACGTCTTCACCTTCGACTGTGTAAATAAGGACCATCGCGGCACGGCACTTATGTAACGCCGCATAGAGAGATCAAAGTTAACAATGAATCCCGAACGTATTAACGAGCGAACGTGCATATGTGTGAAAACATATGGAGGCTCGTATTTCACCGTCTCATAGTACGTGAAAGTGACGTGAAAAGATATCCAAGTACAAACGCGACTTAATTGTGAAAATTATATTTTGTCGAATGATAAAAGTCAAACTTCGTATTAGACCCCGCGATTTGGTATTCAGCCTCCGGAGGCTGAATTACTGAATACCAAATGCACATCGACTGACAAACGAAAACGCTATTAGCACGTTGACGTTCTGATCATTGATGTTGAACGAAAAATAAACGCGCGAGGCAACGATGAATGCCTCGTCACAATTACGATATTATTCGAGTCCCTAGACTATATGAAAACTATTACATCGAATAAACAATCGCGAATGTTTCTCTCGTATTTAGATTTCGACAATCTTTTTCTTTGTCGCGATATCTCCGTTTCGCGAGGTCTTAATTTGTTAATCTTTCCTTTTGATATTTTATGTTTATTAACAGAATTTATTTCGGAGCGCGGTTTTAAAAATACTCTTAATAACAATAATAATTGAATTTCTTCTCATAAAAAAAATTAATACAATATTAGTATTAGGCCACCAAGATCAAGTCCAAACTGTAAATAGTTTTTATCTCTATTTAATTGTATATCATCCTGTTTCACTCATTATTCTTCTCACAAAGTTCCAATAATTAAATATGTATAGTAACAGATTCTTTTAAACCAACGTTCGTTAAATCGCAAGTTCCTGTAAAAACACGAAAATCATTCATTTCGTGTCTATATTACACGAATTAGAAAACTTCAGCTCCTTCACGCATCGATCGTAGCTTAGATATACGTTTGATATTGATATAAAATGTTTACCTTTCGGTCGCTTAGGCACCCGTCCTTGCGTTTTAATCGTGATGGATGGAGTTTTCAAGATGCTCTCGTCGAACGACTTTAAACGAAAAAAATTATAATAGTACTTTTTGACTCCTGATTTCCACGTGAAGTTCACGTGCGACACCTCGCTCGGTATGATCGGCAGTTTATTTTCAAATTCCGGATCCAAAAGATATGCGAGCACTTGACCCTCCGCAATCGCGTATATTTCCATTGCCAGCCCTGCATTAGTCAATGAAAACAGTTTTTCAGACTTACATCGATGTTTATAACATTTTCATTAACGTCGTTGACGACGTTGGCCCGATACCACGAATAGTGATTGGATTTTTCTCTATTTTTTTTTTTATTTTATTTAACAAAATACTTTTTGCGCACCAAACTCATCAAAGGTAAATAATACGTATAATCTCAAGCATCGGAGCATCGGAGCAGCGACGATAGCGAAGAAAGGGGGTCACGTATCGAGCTTAGGGGGGAAAAAAGAAATCCGAGGGGATCACTCAACATCAGTGAACTGTACCGCTGAACATCTTGATTTGCTCCTGGTCGATCCAGAGGGAGATGTCACCGGACGGCTTGTAGACGGGGTTCTCGGAGTGGTGCTGGTGCCGGGCGAGTGCCGCGTCCAGGAGAAGGGCCAGCGCCGCTGCCGCGGCCAGGGCGGCCGCAGCCGATCGCATAATAATTGCCCGCGACGTGCCGCCGCCGCAGCCGCGCGCCACTCGCTGCCCCAGGTGTTGCACGTTGCACGCACACCGGTATAGAAAACTCGCCCCCTTCCCCCTGGCAGCCGCCGTGCGTGCCTTGGCGGTTAACGCGCAACGACGTTTCCCGGCGCCGCCTCCCCGGGTCCCCGTGCGCTCAACGTGCCGGGCCGCGGGCGTGCGTGCCGTTAGCGATCCGACGCGTGAAATCGGTGGATTTCACGGGGCGCGCGCGCGCGCGTGCACAGGACACGATCGCGCGTCTCCTCTCCGCTCCTCTCTCGGCGGCGGAGATCCCGCGGTGATTTCAACGCACGGTTGTCTACCCCTTCGATCGGTAAAACAGAAAGAGAATGAGGGGGAGAGAGAGAGAGAGAAAAAGAAAGAGAGAGAGAAATCGAAAAAGGGTGAAAGAGCACGAGAGAGGCGCGCGCGAACGCGAACTCTCCACTGTACGCTTGCGAACGGCGCGCGATGCGTAACGATGCGCGCGAACCGCGTCGCTCCGGCGGACTGAGACTGACTGACTGACTGACTGACTCTCAATGAGAGTCGAGGCACGCGGAGCGAGTAGCAAAACCTCTCCGTGGAGCGAGATAGAGATCTCGCAGACGGGACCCGGGGCCCGGGGCACGCCGGGGAGCGTGAGTGACGCGCCGCGAGTTAAAGCTGCGTGCACAATGTGCTTGGAATCTCTGCTTTGCCAATATCTCTCTCTTTCCCCCCCACCCCCCCTCTTTCTCTTGCGCGCCACGTGTGCTTCTTATTTTACTGTCTTAAGCTCGGTTTAGACGATCTATAATTTGCGACGGAATTCAAAATAGAATGCTATTTTTTATTTTACGTGCCGTATATTTTGACGAATGTATGTATTTCAACATCATATATTTTAAAATATATGTGTGCGTTTATCTTAATTCTTTAAATGTTTTTTGTACCACCCTGTATATAAAATTATAAATATATATATTCTAATTATTAATTATAATTATAGAATTCTATCCTGAATTCCAATGCAAGCTGTACATTGTCTAAAGTAAGCTTTATCAATGTATAAATTGACATATACATGCCATCAATTTTATATTAAACTTTTCAAACTCCATTAATTAATTTTATGTAATTAACATTTTATAATATAATTAATTTTGACAAGATTAATGAAGATGGAGTTTACAATTGCAGTGCCTAGTTAAATAATTATGCATTGTAAACAATTAAATACGCGAGAAGCAAAGCATGAAAGTAACATTGAAAATAAATATTTATTTCAAGCACTAATTTAATAATCTCTGATATGAAAGATTCAAAGCGTTTAGCCTATACGACTTCCTTTTAATTTAATTTACTATAAATTTTTGGGCCACTTACAATTTTATGAATATAACATTTATTTGTATTAATTAAATTATAACATAGTTTTTACAATTTATCGACTTTGATTTTTCCTCCTTATTCTCCCAAACATCTGACTTCTTCACTTTTGCTAACCAACCATTTTTTAAGAAATCGTTTAATAACAACTTTGCCAGGAGTTAAGTATACGTACATATAGATGCGCGGAAATCGAAATTCGAATTAACTAAAGAGGTGATAAGAAATCCTGACGGAGGGAACCAGTTTTTTCACATCTTCCGTCCGATCGCGCCGGTTCTCGAATCTGCCATGTCTCCCGTCTCCTGCTCATCTCTCGCGCGTTGTCCCTCTCCCATTCTTCATATCTTGTCTCGACAATTGAATTTTACTTCCGTGTCGTAAATTCGCCACATCACGCGGCGCTCATATCATTTATTTCGCTCGACGCGTAAAATGTTTAAGTTACTTAAATTTGAATAATGTTTCTGCATGTAAAAGATTTTAATCCAAGTTTGAAAAAAGGAAAAGACCGAGGAAACGTTGGGAAAACTGATATTACTTGAAAACTGAATATAACTGAGGTAGATGAAAGCGTCTCTTTTAACGTGCACAGTGTCGCTTTTATTTTGCGCATTTTCCTTATCTCGGGATTTTTTAAATTTACTTTTATTATATTTCTACTGCCATTCGATAATTGATAATATTACCACGAATTCACGATTCGCAGAATCGCCACACTTGCAGCGTAGATTCGCGGTGCACGTGAGAGAGATTCGCGACGAAGCGACAGTTTTCCGAGACTGATAATAAGGTTTGCATTCGTCGATATAATCGGAAATAACTGGATCAGATCTATTTCTAGACCGATCAGCCGAGAAAGCCGCGGCCTCGCACGAGAGGTCCCAATGAATAACCAATAGTATCCGTTGTATTCTCCGGTGTCGGGGGATGGGCTACCTAACAAGTGGTCCATTGTTATCCTACGCGGCTGAGGTTTCCGTCTCTCATCTTCTTCCTTCTTCTTTCTTCATCTTTCTTCTTCTTCCGGTACGTGCAGCACGATCGTGAATATTCCAAAGATACCCCCGAACCGAGTCGCAAATTTTTGAAAAACATCGCGGAACACCGTGATCCACGATTTTACCTGCGAAACACTCGACGCCGTCTTTGCGAAGCTATCACTTGTAAAACGGCCTCCAGCGAAACGTCTAGGACGTTCTAGAACCTTCTAATCGCCCTTTCAAGTCGGGGGAATTTAGAAGCATATATTTTCGTGTTTCTTCTGTAAAAAAAAAATCAAATTGTGGTACTACTAGTTTTCGCTTTTATTCGTCCTTTTTTTTTTAAATCGACTCAATTGTATGAAGAAGCATAAGTTATATCGACAGGACGTTACAACTTTCTATATCAAGCAGATATCGCGCAGATATATTTTTAAATAATTTTATCTTCGTAAAACTTTCGATATCATCCTTGCGATTATCACCGTGGTGAAAAGGTGTAGCGAAGAATCTGATTGTAAGACCGTCTCGGTATCTCGCAATCATCCCTTTGAATCGCGGAAATTTTTTAGACATTCTTCCCAGACAGCACACAATATCCTATGGATGTCCATATTATGTCCAGAATGCCAATGGACGTTATATGAATATTTATAGGATATTGGTGCTATCGGGGTTGTCACTCGTGCGAGGGAGAGGAGGATAAATTTTTGAACGGTGCTATTTCTCGTCTTCGCCCCCACCTTCCCGTCGCACAATTATTTATATATGACGAAACATATAAATTCGCGTATATACGGCGCGTGATTCCACGCACCGCGCGGCTCTCGGTACGGCTGCCGCGAGAGCGGCCGGCAGCGAATTCAATTAGGATTGCGGCGGCCGTGCAAAAACATTCGATCAGGAATAAACCGGCGCTGCCTGCTGCCTGCCCGCCAGCTTGGCTCGCGGACGCTCTTATAGCTCTCGTCGCTTTCGAGTTCGCGAGCCCATGTATAATGCGTATGGCATCGAAGATCAATTGTACGCTCTATCTTCGTCGGAGACTCTTTCCGCGTGGCAGACATCTCATCCGATTACCTTCAAAAAAATTTTCATGGCTACACAGGATGCTCCCCCCTAACTGAACGCGTTTTCCTTCAAATGTAGATTCTTCAAGCAATTTTTCCGTCGATTATTACTTTAATAAAAGAATCAAGACTTACAATAGGATGTATATGTATAAGGGCTGGTTGTTCCAGCCTGTTGCCAAACTACCTAATAGTTAAATCATATGTGTGTCTTTGTTTATCCTTTACATTAGACAAAGATAGACATGTGATTTAACTATCAGGTAGCTTTACCAATTAAGTGTTGGAACAACCGGCCCTAAATGTAGCAATCCTCCGTGAAAGAACTATAGAGTAACCTTCATTCAACATATTTTTTAAATTTACTTTTTATTATTTTTGTTAGGTAGAGAAAGCTGTATCTCGGTTACAAATAGACGAAATTTTTTTATCTTCAGATTAGATAATTCTCTCGTATTGAATCTCGAACAATTGATGGATTTCTCAAGCTTCAAGATACATCTTTGTCCGCTGTTAAACGATATTGCGGCCGAACGATCGAAAAGTTACCGTTCGATGCGTGCGTTCGTTAGCGCAGTTATATGTATATCTGTGGACGCGGCTCGGATTGTGCCTCCCTTTATTCTCCCTCGATCCTTTATTCGTCTGTAACCGCGACGAGGGAGAGGAAGAAAGAACCCGTAGTAGCTCACAGATCGAGAACACGGGCTGCGCAAAAAACCTGTCCGGCATAATCGCATTATCGGTCACATCTTGCTCGATTTCTGTGTTCGCTTAGTGGAATTAAACCTGACGATTGTTCTATTCTTAAGAGTAATGTGATTGTCTTCGAGAGTAAATAAATAAACTTAGAAGTTGCTGATGCCTGAATTTTCTATGAAAGTAAAATAAGAAGTGCAAGGACACAATGTACATAAAAAATTTTATATACATTAAAATTATATATACTATATATCTATATTACATATAATAAATATTTAATATATTAATATATTTATATTAATAGAAATAAAATTTACTCAATTTACTTTCTTCGGTTTTAAATATATATTATTTATATATAATAAAAATTAATATATAAACAATACCATATACCTTGTATAATTTAAAAATTACGGTTTTTTCAAAATACGTAATGAAAAAATTGAAATGCAAAATTAAATTATAAATTGTTTTTTCTTTTTATTATAGCTAATAATACTCAAACAAACTTTAAAATACTAATTTTAATAACTGTGAATATGCTTTAAAGCCTAAAGCGACAACCTATATTCGCTTGTACAAATTCAGTTCAATATTGTGTCGAATGAGAGTGACTAATCGCAGTCACTACCGACTGGACGTATCATTGGACGTATATCGACGGATCAAGTGAACTGTCGTACTCATTTTTCTCAATTTCCTTTGTTTTTTATTCTCTTTCCTTTTTTACTTTACTGACATGGGAGTTATGCGGGCAAATATCGGGATGTGTATCAATGCGATCGCGTTCGTGAATGAGTAAAACTTAAAGATTAAAAGACACAATTATCCGCTTAATTATTATACACAACGTAGTGGTATCTAGTCTCGGGTATTCGCTTCTTTACCAGGAGAAGAATGAGGCGATTCAGTGCAAGGTGGCCCATCCGATCGCGCGCGCGCGCGCGCGCGATTATACGATAACTCTCTTGCGTGCGGACGAAAATGTTCACGATGAAAGTTAGGCCATTTGTGCCTCTTTGTATTGCTTGTAGCTTCTGCAAAGCGATTCCCGATACGAGTCCGATCGTTCAAAGCGCCACGAGTGGATGGACAACCCTGCGCATCATCCGTATTTCTATAGACTGTCTTTTGCTGGTTCCTTTTTTTTTATCTCGTAGAAAAATTATCTAAAAACGCGTGATGCCGATGCGAGAATGTACGAATGCGCTCTCTATAGCTGCATATATAATATATAAACGGTGAAAAACACATCGGCACGTTAATATCAGGATAATATACAATGAAGGATTCGCACGGTAAACGGGCACACGTTGGATCACGTTATTGAGATTCATGGTTTTTGCGTTGACTCTTTTTATAGCATTTCGTTCTGGAACGGCGATCGTAATATCTTTATAAGTAACAAATGTTCGACGAATATTAAAGTTGGGAAGTTGAGGGATACGTCAATAGGAACGCTAATTGTCAACAACTTGATGGACGATCCTCGCTTGTTCCCACTATCGCTTAACAGTAAGACAGTCGATATGATGTAGAATGTAATATGATCGCGATTGAGCTAATCGAATGAACACTTTGTATGTTACGAAATAATCGAGTGAGATTCTATAAAATGTATTAGATTCTATAAACTATAAAAAGAGTCAAGCCTTAACATTTTTCGGGGTAACGTGTGCTCGTTATACAATGAACACTCTTTAATAAGTCACGAATCGTTTCCCTTGTCAACGCAATCTAATATCAAGCAGAATAGCAGTAGATATTCACGTCCTCCGCTGAGGTAGCATAAATACCTCGGAAACACAGTCGAAAGACCGACAGCTGCCGCAAAGCGCGCGTCTATTATAGATACAATCGCGTAAAACCGCAAATGATTTTCTATACAAAGTATAAAATTATAAAAAAAGAAAAGAAATACAAAAAAAGAATAATACAACGTACGAAAGTACGAGTTGCTCGTGCGAAAGTATTGGAAGTTTGTATATATATGTATATATATATGTATACAATTAGCTCTCTCAACGCGTCTAACTGATGGTTCAACGTGCAGAATGAATGAATCTCGCTATATTTCAGTAAATATTGACGCTAGCGCAATAGAAAAATACTCTAAAAATGTAAACGCGCTCGTGTGCATGTGTTGTGTATGTGTGACTTGGACATCGAGATTCGAAACATTTTGTCAATTTCGTGATGATTATTGCCCCAACGGTCGTACATTAAGTTAATAATCTGCGAATGCGATCTTATATTTGTCTATGTAATTGCGGTTTCGATTGCAAATTCAGAGATTGCACTATTGTACTATTGGTTATGCACCGGCGATATTAGATTGTCTCGCATATCGTTAATATCGCCCGCGTTATTACGTTTCTCGTTTATGATATATATATACCTACGTATACCATAAACATACAAATTGTAGTATCGAGTAAATTCATAAATAATTTTTTCGGTCGAAAGCATGCCGACATTTGTCCAATCTTTATCGTCGTAACCGCCTAGAAGTTTATGTTCTATCTAATTAACGCAAGCTTTCTTCAAACGTTAAAAAGTGATAACATTATAACGGAGATATATAATAATACGAAAACGCTCATTTCTTATTACGATAAGCCAATATTACGCATTGGATCGAGACACAAGTAACTTCCATTCTTTTTCTTTACTTTCACATAAGATATTCATCTGTCTAGTCTTTTTGCTGAAATATCCGACTTGTGTGTGACATGGGTTTTGGTCCTTCGTCAAAACCGTCAAGAAAACGAGCTACCGTTGCTGGCTCTTTCAAAGTCATATCTTCGGAAAGAAACTGATTCCACGCTAGTCAAGTTGTTACCATGAAATATTTTTTCAGCCGTCGCCGTAACATTAGTCTTTTGCATGGATTCCTAAACCATCATATGGCGAATGCCCTTCTAAGTTTTCCATTCTATTCATGTTAAAATCACACTTTACGCCTTCTTTCGGTAATGAATATCTGACACCGCTGTCGTCACAGTATTAGCTCTAGCGTCACATATTGCTGCTAACACGAAAAGAAGAGACGTTTACCTGCTAGTAGAAAATAAAGATCACTCGCCACGATGACACGTTCGGAGGATATTCCGAAAAGATGAATATTTAGTGGAAATTATTTATGATCTCAATCCAATAATTAGAAAGAAATCTCAATCGTGTGACGTCCAAGTCACCTGTACAGGATGTTCGGCAAAAAAGACCGTAACAAATATATTTCAATTAGAAGATAATTCTGTAGCATAAGGACGTCCTTTATAAGAATTTATCGTGAAAAAATCCTGTCCTGTTCGGTATAAGATATATCATTTAAGAATACTATACTTCGTGATTCTTCGTACATACGTATCATAAATATTATACACTTTGTACCTATCTTTGTTTCACTTTATCTTTGTACCTGACATATTTGCTTGCGACACTTTTGCAGACAACCTGTACATCGCATTGACTACATTAACTTAACGGTTATCTAAACAAATTGTACAAATTGTACTTAAAGGTCTAAACAAATTTTTAACATCCCATACACTAAGTCATAATAATTATAGTTGCTCTGTTGTGATCGTCGCGTCTTTTTAAGAATTACTCGCATAATAATTCATAATTAATATATATATATAATGTCTCTCTTTTTTCCTCCCTCTCTCTTTCTATATATATATATATTTATATATTTAATATCTTCATATATTAAATAATCATATAGCATTATCTTATGATTATTGGATTATAATCATTGGATTATAATAAAATTACCAAAAAAGCAAAGTAAACTGTCATAAAAATAAAAGGGTTTTCGTCGAAGCATATTTCACATACAAAAGCAACAGTTACTTATAGAGGCCTTGCGATTTTTGTTACCTACTTATATAGTGCATATACAATCTTCTCTTTAATAGTACTTTACTCTTTACTATCCCTCGCATATCCTTATTGTTCGCGCATACACGCGCCCCACGTGTGTGTCAAGTGTGTTTGTTAATAATGAAAGTGTAAGTGCATGATAATTATAGATTATTATTCGTTCATTTAGATTTGGCCCTTCCTCGGCAGAGTAAAAATTGATCGCGGCTAAAGGTTCTTAGTGTAACCGTCCATTACGAGATTAAAGTTAAAATCAGTCGAAGCCAGATTGTGACACTATCTTTTACAGTGATACTTCATTTTCAAGATTGCATGTAATGATGTAAATACACAGCAACACTCATTAATATATTGCGTCATCCCTATTTCAAATAAGAAATGCATCAAATCATTTTAATATGTTCGTACATTGTATTACTCGTTATTTTAAATATCAATAATTTAATTTTACTTATGCATATGAGTAACAGCAAAAAATTTTTAAATATTTCCTATTACATTGTATCGATTTCAATGAATTTGTTTTAAATGCAAGCGCTTATCACGAAGATTACATTTCGTCACTATATTCTATTTAAAGCAAGCCATCACTTTTGCAAATCGCATATTAGAAATAAGTAAGTTATTATTGTAGATATTTATAAGTCCAATATAGGCACTAAGATTTAATTTCTTGTGATCAAATTTTAATACGTAGTTACTCAACATAATGTTACTGTGTTAAAAGAATTATGAAATTAAATTTTGCAGTTTTATTATTTATTTATACAAGTACTTAAGCCTTTTAAAAATAATTTTCTTCTGTACATTCATGTCTAACCTTCTTATACTCTCTGATAAAAAAAACATTTTTTTTCTTTTTTAAAATAAATTTTGAAGTAATTTTTAAATGTTATTCGTATCCGTTTGGATTATTTCGACATTGCAAAATGTCTTCCCTTATTAACATAGTATGTATAAAAGGTAATAAAAAAATTTAATTCAGAAAAAGAATAGACAAATAAATTTCCAATGACAAGGAATAAATAAAGAAATTAGTTTGACCAAAATAAACAATTTTAAAGGCGATTCAAGTACTTGCATCAAAATAAGCAACGTTTAATTTTAATAAAATCAATTTCGAAATTGTTTTAATTACAGCAGAATATTGATCGCTATATTAAAATATATATACACGTTAGAAACTAACGCGCAAAATTTAGAAATTCTATTGTAAAACATTGGATACTACATGCAGTCTTAAAGTTACTTCGCATCTGCACGAGCTCGGAATAACACGGATCTAATTCGTATACCTTGTCACCAATCAAAGTGTCTAATTCAACCTGGCTTTGTCAAAGATATTACGGTCAATGCTAGAATAGTTTCTACGGTACTATTTCCATAAATAGCTTGCACGCTATGAAACACCTATAATGTTCTTGGGTTTTATAATTAATATAGAGATATAGTTGATCGTCAGCACTTGCGACAACGTATATAAAGTAAATAATAATCGTCATAACAAAAAATTTATCTTTCACATTTCCGTTGTACGTATATCTAAAAAAAAAAATTTAGTTAAAAAATTTGGAATGTTTGTAACATTTTAATTCAATTGAAACTGAAAATCATATTTGTTGCATATTGACGATCTACATTACTCTGAATGTTTGAAGTCGTGTTTCCTACAAAAACTATAAAACCCAAAACTCAGAGTCTAATTGGCAGTATAGTGTTGGACATTGCGCCCAGCGCAAGATGCATAGCAGAGCTGCTGCAATAGCCAAGGATCAGGAGGATCCTTAACCGTAACGAGAAAAAATTTTTTATGCGGCTTTGATTAAGTTAGTTGCGGATGTTACACATACGTGGCCATAGTACCAGTTGGAATAGGTGGTGTCTCCTCTGGTCTACCTTTAGGTCCGTATTGTCCAATGAAGGATCCATCCTCCGTAAAACGCCCTAGAAAACAAACGAATTTTATTATTTATGAAGAAAATATATAAAAATATAACGTTATGCAGGTACATACACAGAGGTTCGTTTTTCGCTTTCACAAATCAAGTAATAATGAATATTGCTATAAACATCAGCATGCAGTTTTATACAAATAATATATTTATTTCCGAATTATTTCGCCGGAGCACAAATGCATCGATTTAAGTGTTAAAAAAACGTGTGCGACGCGTGACTTCGTGTTCAGGAAAGTGGTCGATTCGTAATCGGCAGATCTTGATCTTGACTCTCACCTCATGCATGCCTCGGTTTTAGACAAGATTAATTAAAGAGTGGATTATGAGTAAAAAAAAGCGTGAGGTGAATGATAACCCGTTTCGGAAACTTATATTTCGTACTTCTACTGTTTCGTCTCAAGAATATGTTTGATGAACTTACCTTAGACTAGAGTGGCAAATGCCTGCGAATTTGGTTCCTGCTTACGCTGTCGGCCATACTGACCAATGAAAGAACCATCTTCGTTCATGCCCTCTGTATCGAGTCAAGCAATGAAGCAAATAAAATATATAACAAAATATGCATGACAAATTGAAAATAAAATAGTCTAAAGCGAACATATAAACGAATACGACTTATGCAACTGCGGCTGCAAAGTGTATGCAAAAGGAAGCAATAACATGATATAAGAAAAATCTAAAACGTGAAAATAAACTCAGCTGTGACATATGAGATTCGTAAATTTCATTTTGCTCTCTAAGATTAAAATATTAAAAATATTACAAAAATATTAAAATTTGGTGCATTTCTACGTTGCAACAATAATTCACAATAATACATACCCTACACGCAGAAAATTTTTCTCGAATAATGTAGAATACTCATAATAAAATTTACTAGATTTGCTAGGTACCGGTAAGATATACGCGTATTCAACCGGAAATTAATATATGACAATAGAAAAGTAATAGTTTGATCAGATACATCTTGTAACCTAAAGGTAAATAAATTTGCCATACTAACAAGGAAATATGAGAACAGTAAAATAAGTCCCATACTAGTATGTGTATATTCGACGTTGTAGCTTGAATTGCCAACATCACATGTCTTGGATTGAGCGTTGTTTTTTAAGACAGTATAGGAAAAATATAATCTAGAATGGTACCTATTGTGAACTGTATAGAAATATTCGTTGCGTATCTGGCAATAGTCTATGTTCTTCATAGAAATGCGATAGTAACCGCGATCGTGGACGACGGAAGGCGCGCGGCGCGAGCGGCAACGTGGGCTCGCGCGGCGAGAGGATTCGGCTCGCGCCCGCTACGCGGCGCATCGCCGGTACATTCTCGCATGATTAAAATTCAACATCGACCTTTATATCTAGGGCAGCTCGGCAGGGTCCTTACAGCGTTCTTAAGTTCGCACGTGGCGGACAGGTGACCGCCACAGCCTATAACGGCAACTTATTCAACTTATGTTTTTTGACATGACTGCAACAGACATGTTTTTTGTTCATCAGCGATATTCGGAATAAGACACAATCGGACAAGATATAATTGAATCATTCGTCTTTAAATTAACATAGTAAAACGCGCTCTCGAAAGTCCCATACTTGATGGAAATATTTACTTCTGCGTATAGTTTTATTTTTTGCTCTCTAAATTTTCCTATACTTTCTTGAAATCTTTTGCATATTATGACTATATCCTAGCCGTGCAAGATTAGTATGGTATTTACTTTGTTCGTGTATACTTGTATTTACGAGAAAAATTTTCTGCGTGTATTTAAAAACGTCAAATTCTTCTAAACTTTTTTTAATTCCTCTATTCTCAACTGATATCTACTAATTCAACTTACTCCTCTTGCACTGCTCTTTCTACTATCTTTTTGCTACTTTGCGATGCATAAATTATACATACGCATAGTATATTCGGTTTTTCATTTGTTTCTTGATTTTATGGATTGAGCGCACAATATTCTATGCATGTGCTGTTAGAATGAGTAGCGATCGAAAAAATGAAAATAGAGGGTTCGCTCAATCCCGCCGATTTAAAGTTAGACATGTATAGACGCGACTAATCAATTGTCATAGTACTTGATACTCGAAAAACACGCACAACAAATATCTTTAATTACATACTACTTTTTCATATCACAAGGACTTTTCTAATATTATATATTATTTTTAACAATTCCAAATAGAATTTTAAACCCATTACCTGTATCACCATCGCCATACTCCGCCATGGAATCGGTGTCGGATTCAGGATGTTTACCATCCACATGAGAAGAAGATGCCAAGGACGCGCGTCCGCCGGCCGATTTGGTGTCCAACGGTTGCGAATATTCATGGAATCCACCCTCGTCGGGATAATCCCCTCGTCCGGCAGCCAGTTCTCGTTCATGCACCGCGTACTTTCCGCCTCGATTTCGTTTAATCACGCAAACGATTATCAGCACCAAAAGGAGGATAGCGATTGCTAGCATCATTCCTTCAGCGAAAATATCACAATCTTAACATATACCAGTCATCGAAAAAATTGGTCTAAAAATTAAGAAAAAAAAATATTTACCTATAAACCAGCCAGCCGTCGCAACATTTTCCTTCGGTTGAATAATGGGTCCTTCGCTACTCGTCACTACTTCTTGGAAAGCACTCTCGCTCATGTAGTCTCCGTCGACAGCGACGACTGACATCACATAGGTTTCACCGCTTTGAAGACCGCGAACCTGCGTGATTTATAGCATTTTTTAATGATCATATAATTATATTTATCTTATTTAAATATTAGAATATAGTTAGGTAAAATCAAAATGCAAATTTAATGAATACAATATTAATCAGAGTTTGGATATGATAGTCAAAGACTCTAATACACAAGACCGAAAAAAATTCTGATTAATAGAGCTTGTTATGAAGATATCAAGAAGCCTTGTGTATAAATTTATCATTACCGTAAACATACCTCAATAGTATTCGACTGAAACTCGGGATCCGTCTTCAAAAAGATCGTTTCGCCTTTCATCTTGTACCTGACAAAGAAATGACTTCCCGGATTACCGTTCAAATTCGGCAACCAAATGACTCTTACGTGTGAATATCCATTCTCCACTGGTATAGTTTCCCACGTAAATTGTGGGATGTCAGGTCGTTGAGACGTTCTAGTCTTTTGCTCGATAAAATAGCTACAAAAATACATTAAAACTATAAGTAACATACATGACAAAAATGACATAAAATAATGTTTACAAATGTTACTGATATTTAACTTCGTTCTTGTAGCTCATGCGACACTTACTCATTGCCTTCACCAACTCTGGTTGTGGCACGTATGTGAACGCGGTAAATCGTATCAGGCGCTAATGCGGCTAATTTGGCACTCGTAGCTTGTGGCTCCATAACATGCGGCTTTCTCTCGAGTAATGTTCCCAACTTTGTGCCGTTCACAACTTGATAATAAATTCTATATCCGGTTAAAATACCATTCGGTTCCGCGGGTCGCGTCCACACTAGGAACAATGCACTGGATCCCATAGGGAATGCTTCTAAACTGAGCACTGTCCCTGGTACTCCTTCCGGTGTGTCAAAGCTTAAAGTCTCAGACGCAGGACCGGTGTACCTGCACAAAATAAACATTATTTAAAGACAAGGTAGCTATGAGAAGCAAAATATATGATGGCGATATATAATCGAAGTGTTATTACCTGCCGTTGTAAGCGAGTATTCTCACGAAATTTTTACTATATGGAACGAACTTCGTGATTAACGCATGCGTTTTATTTCCACCACGAATATCCATCTCGCGCATTCCCTTTTCACCCTCCTTCTCCGTCCACGTTTGAATCTTATATCCTTGCAATTCGCCCCTTACCGACTCCTCGGGTACCGGACTCCACGACAGCTGAGCGGTTGTACTCGATTTTATTTGATTCAGTGTAAAATTGCCGGGTGCTTGCAAGGGTACTGAAATAGCAATTTAACGTTTTATGAGCAAAGTCGATGTATTAATAATTAATCTTAGTATATAATAACAATAACAATTATAATAATAAAGTTAATTTTATCAGTGGATTACCGTCTTCTCCAGAGTATCCGATAATTTCATTAGCTGCAGCTTTACTCTCTCCTTTCGCGTTCGAAGCGATGACCTTAATTTTGTATCTTTGATAAGTAGGTTGATTGTCCACGAGATAATTATTTTTCCTCCAATCATATATATCAGCTGTAGCCCATGTCTCACCCGGTATATCTCTTTTGTAATATACCCTGTATTTAAAGTGGGGGGCATTATGCTCTATTTGCGGCATGGTTGTCCATGAAATAACCAAATTTTGAGGCGTTGTACCCTTGCCCATAATATTGTCTGGATTTTTGTAAGGAACGTCTTGTTCGGTGGTACAAACATCGCTGTGTGGTGACGGTAGAGAAGGGCCTGAATTAGAAAATAATATCAATACATTAGTTTAACATATTTATCCTAAAGAAGAGATAATAGCCATAGTAAATTGACTCGAAAATTGTGTAATTAAGATCTGAATTATATATTATTATACATATATGTACATAATTATATATCATTGCAATTCATTCATTTCAAAGTAGTCTTTTAGTTTTCAAGCGTTTTCTCACCTATTTTATTCCATGCAAGAACGCGGAATGTGTAATTGGCCCAAGGTGACATAGACACTTCGTATGTCTGGTCTGTAGCTGGGACGTAATCTTTGGCTATCTCCCAGGTATCCGGTGCAAAAGTGGTGTTGTATTGGATCGTGTAGCGCAGAATGGGAGATCTGTTATCTCCCATGGGTATCCATTGAACAAAGGCCGCTTTAGACATGCATTTAATGCCGATTAATCTTGGCGCATTAGGTACATCCTGAACTATCAGCGTCGCTTGTGCTCTCGCTTCGTCGAGATCAGTGCGGGCGACGCACGTATAGATACCGGAATCCAGTTCGGTCGTCTTTGTAATCATTAGAGAATAGTCGGTACTTCGTACGAATCTCGGTTCCATCTCAAAGTCTATTGGTTCACCATTGCTCAACCAGTCTATGGTCAGAGGTAGACTGGGATCAGTAACGGCATTGCACCTAGAACAAACATAGAAAAGAAATTAAGCAAAACCTCCTAATTATACATCAGGAGATAACAGATTTACTTTTACTTCTATCGAGATTTCAATATTTTTTTGAAAAATTTTACCTGAATGTGGCAGTGGAGCCCGCTGCAACCTCGTAGTCCTCCGGCTCATCCGTTATCTTGGTGTGTTCTTTCACCACCAAACTGGCGGACGCATTCACTTCGCCGAATTTATTGGAAGCGTAGCACGTGTAAGTACCAGCATCCAGGAATATCACGTTCTCGATTTCCAAATCGCCTATATCCAAAATCTTGTAACGACCGCCGGTCAATTCTTGCCCGTTCCTGACCCACTTGACCTCGGGCTTGGGTGCGCCGAAAACGCGGCACGTAATCCGGATGGTTTTGCCGTCGACCGTGCTCAAGTTCATGGGCGGTTGCGTGATATCCGGATAGAGCGCCAACACGTTCACATATACGTCTTTGTAAACGTATCCCAACGAGTTGGTAGCGTTACATCCATAATTTCCCGTGTCTTTTTTCACCAGCCTCTCGATGACAATGGAATTCGCCGTGACTTTCCTCCTGTTATTCGGTGGCGCTTCAGATATCGGTTTACCATTGTAAATCCACTTGATCTCGGGAACGGGCACGCCGCTGGCCTCGCACTTGATTTCGGCAGTCTCGTCCTCCGCAGCGTTCACGAACTCCGGCTCAACGGTGAAATATGGTACGGCCATTACTTGTAGATTTATGGAATACGACTGGGCTGTTCCTACTCCGTTCGATGACTCACAGGTGTATTCGCCCCCGTCCTCGAAATTGACGTGTTTTATGACGAGAGATTTTCCGTAATTTCCTTGAATTATTCTATCGCTCGGTCTGAGCAACGCGCCATTTTTGCTCCAAACTATCTGCGGTAAAGGCGTTCCTCCGAATATGCAGTATAGTTCTACCTTCTTGCCACGCAGAGCAACCTCATTTTTCCTGCTGACGTACTGCCTTTCAGGGGGATATTTGTTCTGGCCGGCGGACGCGCCTGTAGAAATTACGTTTAACAAAACCTTATTGCCTACTTTGTATTCGTTTCTGAACACAGATGTGGCGGCACAGGCATAGTAAAAGTCATCCGAAGCGTCGTTTCTCGTAACATTGCTGAACCAGAGATTACCCTCCGGATCGAGAGTCATCCTTGAGTTATTGATTGACTTGATACCACCAGCGATATCCTGAATCAGCCAATAAACATTTGGCTTAGGCCAGCCATCGGGTGGTTGGCAGGTAAGTTTGAAGGGGGAACCCTCGTTCGCGTTTAAAGTTATTGGGTTTTCGTCCTTGAACGAATTTAATTCGGCCTTTCGAACGAACACCGAATTCGACGTAGCTATGCCCCACTCATTTTCGGCGAAGCACTGATACTGTCCCAAATCTTCATCTCTCGGTCTTGAGATTACCAAAGTGCCTCTACCAGGTTGTTGAGAAATGCGATCGTCATACGCCGGCCACTCAAAGTTCTTTCCATTTTTAATCCAACGATACCTATATAAAATTATCTAATATCAAAATTTCTTCTGACACATGTAATATACATCACAAATGCTTCTAGCACAATAATGTTAAATATAATAATAAATATATATATTTGCACATAAATTATCAAGATTTAACATTGATGGAACATGTTAAATATAACATACAAGCTTTATACCTTAATCCCTCTCATTTATAAATAGATTTCTTTTTATAAATAAAAACTATATACATTAGATAATAGTTTATAAAAAACTCTGCCAACGCCCATACGGTTAGATAAGTCAGGCATCTGTATTAGCGATGATTATTTCACACATATTAAAGCTATGAGATCATCTTTGTAATTAAGATCGGCTAGTTGCAACCGGCTTCCTTACACTGTACGTTACACTGTACGAGATGAATAAGCCCGACAAGTGCAATGAAACTTCATGAATGAGATATTCCGAAAGTACATTTTCCGTTCTTGAGCAACTTAACAAGTGTGACAAGTCATATTTACATAATAGCTATTTCCTTGATAGCACTTGTAGGCTGTATCTAATAATACCATCAGACAGCGCATAAAGTGACTTAAAGAAATTTATTCTACATGTAATAAACAAGCTCTAAAAAAAAGCAAGAAAATGCAGATACGTACGTTGGAACTGGCTCGCCCTCCGCTTCGCATTCAATCAGAAATGGTTTGTCATTCTCGTTGACTTTTGTTTGAGCCACTTGAAACAGCTGCTCGTCCGTTGGCGGCTGTTTAGATATTCGTGGCGGTGATTGAACTAATAAACAAAAAATGTATTAGATCCAAAACGATTACGCCATTGAAATAAAGATAAACTAGTAGAAAAGAAACACACAAATATAATCTAAAGAAGAAAAAAACAAGAGGCATTTATGGATTTATGTTCAATGTAATGAAACTCCGCTATGATAGATAATCTTCATGATTTTTAACTTAAGTATGGTAAGGGTCAGCCACAGCTCACTATAACTTAATTGAAATAAATATACCACATTAAGAAGATTTATAAAAAGAATGGAAACAGACACATGGTAGGACAAATCTAACGTTCTTTAAAATATATGTACAAATACATACAGACACTTTGAAAGTAACGAATCTGGGATCTAACAGAAATAATATTCTACATTTTGTATATTGGAATCGTGTTATGTTGTATTATGTATATGTTGGAATTATGTTGCATTGCATATGTAAAATAATATAAAGTATAATAAAATATTCACATAGAAACAATTTAGAATGTTTTTATGTTTAATGTTTCGTTAATGTATATGTGTTCATGTTCTAACAGCCAAAGGTAATCTATACACAGATGTAATTGCGTGAATGTACAAATATTGAGTGTATGGTCTGGAGCCGTATAAATGGGTACAGATGTAAATGTGTGAATACACAAAAACATAGCAGCTCCGTGTAGAGAATTTATTAATATTATGTGGCAAAATGGTTTTGCGTGAATAAAAGGTCGCTTGTAATAGAAAGCACGATTATGAAAAACGGTTTCCATAATAGTGTGTTTCACCTTCTACATTATCCGGGACACGTACTATAATTGAAAATCAAAAATCATAACTTTAATGGCAAGATTCATTGAAATTCGTAGCGTAATAGAATAAAAGTCTTATATGGTCGACCATAATTTGAAGGGTATTTACGGGCAATCAAATTATTTATACTCACTTATAGCTGAAGCGCCAAGCACCAGCGTGAAAACAATACACACGGCGAGTCTCATTGTCACTTCGTGTTTAGAAAACTGAAACAATAATATTTCTTTTATCAGAAGATTTCTTCTTAATCAGAATTATGAGAAATAAGAGCAACTTCGATTAACTTAAGCCAGCATAATCACTCACGGCAAAATTTCTACCTGTATAATTTATCGTCTCTAATTTTTAACCCTACCCACGTTAATAAAATATTACAGATAAGTTAATAGTCACCCTAAAAAATGAGGAAAAGCAGAAATGTATTAAATAATTTACAAGCAGCTTTTGTATCACATCGGTTGCACAATAGCTACCCAGATCGTTTCTCCGAGTGTTACATGAGCGACGCGACGTAATATTTTAAAGTAAAGAAGAAAAGAAAAAAACCGTCCTTTTGCACTTTACTAACGATATACTTGACGAGCAGCGTTCATATGCCGGGCCGTGTTTAATGTGAATAACAGACGAGAAATGAAAAGAATTTACTCGAAACGGATCTTCGCCTGCTGAGAAGGACAAAAATCCTTTAAAAAAAAAAAAATCAATATCTTATCTTATCTTAATAAATCAATATGTCCTAATACTAAACAGTGATTAGTCTGTGACAAACGATTCTATTATGCTTTTTCTGAGGGACGAGCAAGGGACGGATATGCTACCAAAAAAAGCAGGCTCTTTATTATTCCCTGTTGGAGATATTTGAGAAGAAAGTGAAAGTTTTTAAAATCATAAAATACGTAAAATGCAAAATGGAGGTTTATATATTACAGTAAAAGAGCAAATCGGTGATCATACATTTACAGTTTACACATGTACTAATTTTACCAGTAAATAAAATATTAAAAGACAAGTGTTAAAAAACATTTGATACTTTCACTATAACAAAATATGCACTGGCTATTTTAATTCAGCAAGAGCGTGCGCAAAGAACAGACAATTCGAGTGACAATGTAGTTCCCCATGTTGCAATAAATAAAAACTGTATTTCAAATAATATAAGAATATATTTATCCATCTTTCTTTATATCTTTGAGAAATTTCTCTTTCAGTTTTCTGGGAATGTTTATTTTAGCTATCATATTATCAGAGATTATATTATAGTTCATACTTTTGTCTCTTTATTTCAAATAAACAAAAAAAAAATCAAAGAACGTCAAATTGTAGTCCAACTAGTAAACCATTTGTCAATAAGATATGCAATTCACAAAGCATTTGTATCAATTGGTACGTTTTTATAGCGTTTCAGAAAGTGTGTATAAAGATCGGTACGAAAGTAATGCCTCCTTAGAAAATTTTATTTCTGAAACTATGGTTTTTACATGAAATAATGGTCAATCTTTATTGCGTACACTGTTGTTTTTATACATGATCTCCATCTTTTTCTATGCACTTTTGCCATCTATAAATCAGATGCTCTGGAAAATGTCCACGAAGTGTATCCTTCAATAAGTGGTAATAAGTGTAACCTTCAATAAGAACTGAAGAAAAGTGTTGATCAAGAGAGAGAGAGCCCTCAAGAGTCAAAGCAAAGATTTGTATCGCACTGGTATACAGCGTCTGACTCACGAAAGGTAAAAGTGCATAGGAAAAAAAACATAAAAATTATGTGAAAAAAATAAGTGTGCACAATAAAAACTGACCATTATTTCATGTAAAAACTATAGAAATATCCAGAAATAAAATTTCCTAAAAATAAAAAAATTAGAAGGCATTACATTCGTATCGACCCTCGTATATTAGTTTTCTAATAATAATGTTTATTAGTAGTAAATCTTTTCAGTCTTCTCAAAATCTTAAGTAATTATATCTATACATTTACTAATAAATATACAAATACAATTATTGAATTTTACTCTTATATATTGCAACATACATTGTATATATTGGGATATCGCATTAGACATTATTCGTTAACACTAGAACAATCAGCATTGAATGTATATTTAATTTTACCACATCCGTCAATTCGACAGGTATTTGAAAAAACATTTTATTTATTTTAAATTTCTTTAATACTTAAATAATAATTAACGAACATAGCTGCAAAGATTTTAGATTATTTTTATAGATTTAGTTCTAAAGATATTTAATATTTTAATAGAAACCTTTTTTTCATAGTTTTGATTCTATCAATAGGAAATAAATAAGTATAAATATATTTTGCAATAACAACATTTTCGAATTACTGTTACATTCTAGAAACTGTTATCTACATTTTAAAATAAAATTTAAATTAGACGTTGGATCAATAAAATTACTTAGCACCAAAGATAAATATACCTTTCACTAACATAACACGTGCTTATCGCACAACTTATGTCCATTTCTATCAACGCAGATTAATTTTGATCTTGGTTTAACTTACCTGTCATCTTTTCCTAGTTCTCTAAAAGTTAGAAAAAGATAGAAAGTAAGTTAAACCGAGATTAGAAGTTAATCTACATTGGTAGAAATGGGCATTAGACAGCAAAGTGACAATGAAAATATGATTTTCCTAAATTGTTATCAAAATACCGCATCATGTCGTAGTTGTTTCTTGTTAGTATAAATAAGATCTTTTATATCTTGACAAAAATCAACATAAATTGCAACAAAAGCATCTTAACTCCCGAAAGCCATACTGGGATCTCAGGAACCCCAACGAAATTTTGGAACTATATTTGGAACTATCATTTATATTTAGAATATTTAACATTATTGTTCGACTACCTCACTGACTTTTATTGTTTGCGGATTTAAATCACTCTGCGGTTGGTCATAGAGTGAGACGGACGTGCTTCTCAACATAATTTTCTTAATCACTTCGATGTCTATACCGTGGTTTCTCGATATTTGGCACGCAAAAACTTGTACGAATTTTATTTATCTCGTGATGTCTTTACAATTTTATATATCTTTATAACCAGAAGAGCTTTTTATTATTATTTTTTTTAGACGCACAACCAAGTAACGTTTGTATGTATCGTAACATTGTCATCTGAAAAGGGTCAAAATCCATGGCCGAAACGTTGTGCTAATATTAGTAAACCTGGCCAGTTGGGTCGATTTTAAAAGACAACCACTTTATTATTAACATTTTTAAATGTGTATTTTTTAGTAATAATTTTTATTTTGGCAAATTCTGAGATTACCATCATACTTCTCGCAATCAGAATGCTTTACGATCGATTGGGAAAAAAAAAATATTACAGTACGTTGATTTTTTTTCAAGCTTATAAGCAAAAAATGGTTGGGGTCCTCCAGATCCCAGTGGGCTTACACGTATGCAAAAAATAAGTGTGGCCTGCAAGGATTATAATAATATCCGCAATTTAAGACGAGAAATCTAACATTCGTCATTTTAACAAAGTTGGTTGTTCTAGTGTTAAAGATATTTTTTAAAACCTTAAGAAAGTTAAGGCTTCCAAAAGTATCAGATTGAAGAATCTCTTTGAAAGTCGCAGCACGCAACAGCTCAGATTTTCCCCCGACTCCGTTAAAAAATATATAATCGCAGAAATTCGACGCATCCGGCGAACGCGGCACCGTCGAATTAACAAACGTGGCACCGTCCGATCTTCTTCAATTAATCATGCATCACCCGGATCCGTGCCCGCGGTCGTGAACCCGGCGAATCCCCCGTGCCATTTTTTTTTTGCCGTTGCGGTAAACACAAAATTGCCCGCACACATGTATACACACAGGCGCGCGCGTGCGCTTAAAAAGCCTCGGCGTGATCGAAGCTGACCCAATTATCAGAAATTTTCAAATTCGCCGGGATGTTGTGGGACGGTGGTTGCCAATGGTGATGCGAAAAAATGGGCGTGCACCCGGCGCCGATAAGAACTTGAGAACTGGGAACGAGACAACGAGAGGAAGGAAAGAAGCAGAAAAATAGAGAGGCGAACGCGAGGCTGACGAGGGGCCGGGCGGCGTATTTTCTCACGTCGCTCTATCGATGCCCGCGGGAGTCGCGGGAGCACTCGGACGTCGCCGGGAACCGTCGGGAGGATCCGAGGGAGATTCGGGATTCGCCTGACTCGCCACTCTCGCCAGCCGATCCGAATGGAACGCGTCGTCGCGTTCGACGACGTCGCCCCACGATGATCTCACTCGCGTCGTGCGTCGTCCTTCGCGGGTCTCGCCCGACTCGACTCGCCTCGCCTCGCCTCGCCTCGCCGTCCTCGCCGAGCGGAAGCGCGATCGAATTGATGATCCTCGCGATTCGCGCGGGCGCGTCTCGTTCCGGTCGCCAGGAGAGTCTCGCAATACTCTCGGACTCTCGGCAACTTGCCTGACTCTGCCACTGTCTGCCGCTCTGGCGCGGTAAAACGGGCGGCGAGTAAACGCGAATGGGAATGGGAATGGGAACGGCAGGGCGAAAAGCGGGAAGCGGGCACACCCGCGACGCGAGATCGCATTGATCGGGCCCGTCCGCTCGGTTCGTTCGATTCGCTCGGTCCCCGCTTCCTCGCCGCGTCGATTAAAATCGCGGGACACTTACCGATCCTGGGCGTTCGGCGTGGCGCGATCACGGTGCCGAGAACGTCGCTATCACCAGGGCATCGTCGAAAAAACTGCGGTCCGCGAAAAACCACCGACACTTCCGATACGTAACTTCGCCGTACGGTACCGCGCTATTGTGCGTGTAAACGTCTTACCTGTGTACGTGCATGTGTGCGATACGGTACGCACCGCGCCGCGCTGCACTCAGTCTTCGCCAGTCCTCGGTCCCGTCACCTCTCGCCGCCCGGCCGCCCTCGCCGGTCTAGGAAAACTAGATGTAGGGAGGGCACCACGTCGGTAACGCTATCTACTATACCGAAGGATAACTCGTTACCGACGAGGATAATTACCGATAACACTAAGCTGTTCATGTCTATATCGAATTATATATATTTTATCCCCCTCCCCCTTTTCGAGACATTAAATTCTGTTCTTTTTCAGTTGAATTCCTTGTACAGATCTTTTTTCTTTTCCTCCTCACGTAGGAAAGAAGAAGAGGAAAGATGAACGGTGCAAGAACGGTTCAGCTAAAGAACGGACTTGGTTATCTTATTATTAGTATTATAATCTAATAATATCTTATGTATTTTTATGACTGTGAAAAATGTATAACATAATTAACGTTATAACCCAAACATTTTTTACATAGCTTTAAGATGGTGACAAATAAACTATACTTAGTAACGTAATTCAAAGGTCTTCTCCCCAATATGTCGAAAAGTAAAGTAGAATTCATGTATAAAATTCGACAAATATATCTGGATTTAATTAAAAGTAAAATCCAGGGATTGTGTTCGTATAACTGAAGAGAAATATTCTCTTACACATGTTTCCTGATTTATTACGTGCAGCAGTTTTGAAACGAGAAAATACATACATCTTATATGTAACTTATTTACATACAAATTGATCGTAAATTTTATTCTGAATCCTTGTACTTTTCATTAACCCTCTGAGTTAAAAAAAAAAAGATCAGCTTGATATACTGTGACTACAACAGTAAAATAGCAGTAAATACTGATAAAACGTGAAATTTTTTAACCAAAGAACCTTGAATCCTATTTTTAAGTTGATCAATTCTGGTATAGCTATATGTAACATGTATATTGTGAATAAAGAGAGGTTTTATTGATCAGGTCGATTAAACAATTTGATATTGCTCGGGCTCTACTTCGTGAATATGTCGTAGGAAAAATGTAACTTTGACTTGTTCAACGTGTCGACATAGCTTCATGGCTAAACTCGTTCGTAGTTTCATGTGCTGGGTAAGGGAGGGAAGATTCAGCAACAAAAACGCAAGACCATCAATCTCCTATAACGAACAGAAATATATTACCAGTTAGAATTGCGATTAAAATTTCAATCAAGATATAATCAACACGTATACTCACCTCTTCTTTGACGCGATACGCAAGATCTTTGCAGTCGTTTGTTTTTCTGAGGTATCGAAACACGTCGTCTACGCTCCAATATAATGGATTTGAATCCAGCTTTCGAGTCTTCGGTCGCCGCTGTGTCTTTTGCATTTTCAGATATTCGGCGTCTGCCTCGGAACAATCGGATTCTATGCTTGTGTCCCAATCTCTCTTAGTCCCTCTAGTGATCCCCGTGCCTTGATTGAATCTTTTGGAATGTTGCTTCGAATTTAAATTTAGGAGACTGGGCAGTTCTCGATCTTTAGCTTTTCTATCGTTGAATGAACTACCAGAGTCTTCCGAAGCATTACTGGAAGCTACTTCAGTTTTAAAGTCATCTGACTTGTCGGATTTCTCTAAACCTTTCTGTATCATGATATCTATCTCTGAGAGCGGTTGTCTCCCATCGAACGTCTCTTCAGCTTGGCTCTCTGAAATATGCTTCGCCAAATCTAACGATATAAATGGCATTTCATCTTCCTGATCGTATTCTTCGTGAACCTCTTTATGCTTGTTTGCCCATCTGCCACGTCGTCTTTTACGCCTTCTACCCCACGGTTTCGGTTTTTGCACCATGATACTTGTATATCCTTTCGGTTTTCCTCGTTTTCCAGTTCCAACCGTGGCTGCTGAAAATTGAAAATTGAAAATGTCAATGGTGCATGTATGCGTGTGCATTTTATACATTAATTATAAAATATTATGAATACAACAAACTTGCATATGTGCAATATATAATTTCTTTAAGATATTCAGTTGCTTACTGTATTTCGTTTTTGACGTTTTATAACACTCATCTGGACATTCGTTTTCCGATATATGCAACGGCCCAAATAAATTCGGGCATACCATTAATTTTTTACAAATACTTCTGCAAAAATCTGCTACCATGTCTCCCGATGTAACAATGGCCACACTCGCGCGATATGTGTTATTTTTATGCTTTGCCTTCAAGACTTCTAAGTGAAACCCAGGATCTGGTTTGGTATCACATTGCAAAACCTTTAAAATTCTAGCACTTCTATATCCAACAGATACTATCATTGACAAAACTTCCCGCATGACCAATATAACTGGTCCAGGTCCTACTGACTTTGGAAGTGTCGCTAATTTACCCTTCGATATCATGGGGCCTGTGAAGCACCGGTAATTAAAATATATCTTTGGACACCAGAGAGAAGAGCGTGGTTCAGATATCGGTATGTCCAAAACATTGGTTTTCTTCTCCTCCTTCACAGACGTTTCTAATTTCTTACAAATTTCTACATAGTCGTGCGGAGGTTTTAACGGATAGTGATTAGACTCACACCATCCGACGGGAAATATTTGCAAGGAATTCATGTCGACTATATGATCTGGCCGAAAATACTCGTAGTTATCTAACTTTATCCATAACAGATTGTCAACGATTTTGTTAATGTGGGCAGCGCATATTACATGTTCATGTTCTGGATCGACAGCTTCCAGTCGCATGCCACATTCAAAGCCTGCCTCACTGGCACTCGCACGTTCATTAAATAAGTTCTCAGGCGCTGCGCTAGCATGGCATGCTTCCAAATATTCATTCCAATCAAAATTTTCCGTCTTCGAAGTCCAACCTTGTGGATGGGTAATCCTGCGGGTATTCAGATCAAGATTTTAACAGGAAAAATAATATTAAGATCAAATGTTTAAAAATATACAATATTTGTGAAAAAATATATATTCTACACGATTATATGAAACAGTATATCTTTAAAGAATTATGATAAAATAAATTATTTTTAGATTAACATATTCGTTACATTTATTTGATACTTACATAATATTGTTTTTTTGCGCCCATCCAATTGGAAATATATATGGATGTTCTGCAGTGCACAGCCATGTATTATTTTCTGAATTATTAGAGGCAAGCGTATTATCTGATTCATCCAAGCATTTAGCGCGTACATCAATGTTCACAAGAAAATATATATCGTCAAATACTTTCGTTACAGTAGCAGGACAAATTTTCATCCTATCTGCTGGATTTAAAGCTTCCAATTTCATTCCAACTTCGAAACTATGCTTTGGATGATCTACATTATTATTAAATAATTCTTCCCCTAACTCATAATCTTTCGGTTTAGATTCTAACAACTCCTTCCAGTCTTCATATTTATGCAAATCGACTATTGAACTAGGTGGTTCCAAAAACCAAGTGGAAATCGAATCTAAATTTGATTTAGACGTGAATCCATACGAATGTAAACGCTCGGATGTACAAAATATCCAGAAGTCTTCACGAGTAGAATCTGGAGTATCGTATCTCAATAAAAGACGTCCTCCGACGTTCTCCATAATCTGGAAAAAGAATCATCAAATATTTTCAAGACACATCACACGATTACACACAAATATCCTTAACTATTAAATCATTAATAAACAAAAGTAAACACTTTGTTCATTTTTATTCTTTTGCTTATAGATTTTGATTTCTATAACGTCTAATTCTGTTCTTACCGTAGCTACCCATAACTTGTACGGATGCAACACATCACTTATCTCAACCTTCATACCCTGTTTTATCCTATCTGCCATACTTAGGCCATCCTGCAAGGCGAGTGTTATGTTAGATTTATTAGAATATTGATTATAATATATGTAAAATTCTAGAAATATTAGTATCTTACCCCTGTTAACATCTCAGCTGGGAGTGTACGTGCCGTTGTCAGAAATTCGTGCAGCTTGTCTACGCAGTCTGGTGATCTCTCAAGTATAACATCAGGTGGTTTTAATTTTTTATTATTTTTCGCACTCCAACCAAGTTCATGGCCAGCTTCTTTCGTAAGATTAAACCAAAATTCTAAAGATCTATCGTCCCCGCCAAAGTAACGCAATCGCAATAAGGGTCCGCAAGCCATGACAATAGAGGCTACCCAATACGACACTTCATTCTCATCGTTACTTTTTTGCACTGGTACTTCTAATGACATGCCTATCTCAATACTGTTCTGCAATGTCAACTCCACATGAGGGAACACGATCTGTGGAACTTCCACACTCTCCGTGGCGTCGAGATAGTCTTGCCAAACAAATACATATTCTAAAATATAAACGATATGATATATTATTCAATCTGAATTTGATATATACTAAAAACAAATTGTGATTTTACTTTATCTGACTCTCTCAAATATCATTATGACAAAAACTTAATAATATATTGAATATAATATATATTCTACAAAAAGAAACTGATATTATTTATTAATAACAATGTAGATGAAAGAAATATTATAATAAAATAAAATATTTTTCAAGAATATTTCACTTAAAAACTTTTCATCACTTTTTTATTTAAATCACACTTATATTAATTATTCTTTCTCATTAAATTCGTATTATATTAATATGTATAAATTATTTTAAACGAAAATATTTAATTTATCGAACTAATAACTTTTTTTACCCTGACATTTTTATCTGCTATTACTGATGCGCAAAACGCCATTTTCTGAATTGTTAATATAGAACAGATAGTGAGAGTAGAAGTACGTTTGTAAAAGATAAGAAAAACACGTCAAAAAGACAATGCGAAAACAACGCAACGCGTGCTCTTTGATAGTTAATTGCCGTAATACGTGAATTTTCTCCCGTACAGTGTACGTAATTCACTTCTCAAAAGTTTTATTTGAAAACGCGTTCAACTACCATGTTGTCTGTAATCTACTCTTATTACCTTTATTGGAAAGCGATAGCGCTCAAGCTGACCGTGTAAAAAAAAAAAAACGCGCGGGATAACTTGACAATCACGTGTAACTCCGACATCGAGAGAACCGATGAATTTCGTTCGCGTGACGGTAAAAATTTTTTGCGTACACGAAATTTAAAACGGACGAGTATATAAAGTTACGAAATTTTTACCTCCATCCTGCGGTCTCTCCTGCGCTCGGTTCTCGTGCGTCTCCATACTTTATTTACACCGCCGGGCCGTCGAGCGAAATACACGGCGGGACCATTAATGGATCTTTGGCGAAGGGCTGGCGATTGTTGCGGGCGAAATAAATGTGGCGAGCCCTGATAGGAAGAGTAACACCTACGAATCACCGTGCGCAAATGAGTGAAGGGCAGTGATCCCAAATCGTAGGATTTTTCCACGCATGCTCAGCAGCGCAGTACAGTGGCGTACCTACGTAGCCCGCGGGAACGTCCGGGGTATCGTCGGGGCGACCACGTCCACGAACGCTAAAACGCTCGACCCCGCGGACCCTCAGCCCGAGAAAAAGTCACTAGATCGCGAGTCGTGCATGCAAGACTACACCTCGAATGAAAATCCTTGAATATAAATCTCAGAATAAAAAATGCATCGGGTCTCACGCTTTTTTGCACTCAAGTTCAAGTTCAAGTTCGCATCGATTTCCTACTGCAATGCCGGCTGGCTTATTTGGCGTTCTGTAAATAACGATCGCTCGTAATTGTTAATTGCATACTAATTTAACCAAGAAAGTTTAGTTCATCACTTTTCATTTCATTCATTTTCAAGGTTGTAATCATTTTCTTAATCTTTCGATAAATATTATTTTGATATTTACAATAGAAAGTTTTTGAAAGTAAGATCTGAGCAATGATTAAATTATTGCATTTTTAAAATAAGATCATGTATGATAAGCATGAATATAATATAAATAATTAGTAACGTATATATTTACTTATTTATATCTTTATAAAGTAGATTAGTAAATGTAAACTTGAACGTTTCGAATTTAAACGGTTGATTCAGTATTTCAATGTTGGTATTAACTAACTTCACACATTCAATTGTAACACTCATTCACATAACCCGATTTTATATTTAAGGTCATTTAAGTCTAATTTTAGTTGATCTTGGATGATCTTAAAATTCGATCCAGTCTAATGATCATATAGCTCAAAATCGTACTTGAGACGATTCACTACATATGTAAAATCTGACTAAAGATTTTATATACAAAATGCTAAATAAGAGCTCGACAAGTTAATATTATAGTTTACAGTACACAGCCAGCAGATTGCCAGCAGAAATCGAGCAAGATCTATCATTTCATGAATTTTAATAAATATTATCGTTAAATTAAATAGCCACAAAATATATGGCAAAATATATCTACTCGCTTTCCGTTGATCATCATATTCTATTAGCAGACTCTGTCATACTTTTGCTGGCATTTCGATATAAAATTTGTAGTAGATAGGTATTTTGCAAGATCTATTCTCGACGGATTCGGATATCTGGTTAAATATCATCCTGGGTTCGTTCAAATATGTGATTAAGTACAAAGATTTCTATCAACTGAATAATATAATTACATATATAATATAAAAGTTAATAATATGATAAATAATAGTATAGAAAAAGCTTTATTTTAAATAATTAAAGAAAATAATAATATATTTTCAGAAAAAATGCTTGTTGATATAAAGCTACTTTAATAGCAACGTGGTAACAAAAGACGTGATAAAAACTTTTCCCAAGAATCCCAAGAAATGCTCCTACTTTGCATAAGTTGGTTGGTTTTAACAAGTCATGCAATCGGCTGCACACGTGCGTATAAAAATATGGAGGATGCGCATGCGTTGGAAAATCTTACAATCTGGGATAACTGATTCTTGAAGGTGGATATACCTATATAGATATACATATATAGCTTATTGTTGTTGACGAATATAAAGCAGTCGCTCCTGACAAACAAGGACACGGATTATCGATATATCTCACACATATTATAATTTGAAAAGAAAAAAAATATTGTAGCACTGTGATATCGTATAGACACAAGTATCCAAAAACGCAAATAAATCCAACTTAATTTGGATATGTCGTAATATATCCCTGCATTCCTTGCAGAATGGAAAAAAAAAATAATGAACTCACGTATCTAATCATAAATCATAATATCTCGTCTCAGCATGCAGGGATGGAAATCTATGAAATATATGTTAATTATTATCTATATGGTATTATCTACGATAAATAGAATTCGAATGCGAATGCGGGTGCCGGTCCTACTACTACGCTCCTGGTGCATAATAAAGACTGCTACGTACAAAATACAAAAGCATGATATACACGGGTATACGGTTCGTTCATTTTACTTGCACTTTCTGCACTCGCGGACTCGTCGTTCTCTCTTTTCTCAACGTCCGAATAAACATATCCATCTTGTTTCAAATGCAGAAAATAATATGGAGTGCAAATAAAACAGATCTATATCTTATGCTCGTTACATTAATTAACTGATGAAACACACATATTATTACACACATACCGTCTAAAAGTTGTATCAAGCCTAGGTGCTTACATTTACGCTCTTGCACTTAAATAATTTCACGTGGTAATGATTTTTAGGATGAACATGCAACCGCTGCGAAGGCTATCTTTCGACTTTAAATATAACCGTTCCCTTTCAACGCCATTATTCCGTTTCGATCGTTAATTATTCCTTTCATGACGCTCTTTCGGATTATATTATCTACAACTACAACCTACGACTATATCAACAAAACAATTAATTGAAAAGAAGGATGCTTTTATTATTACTCAAAGACAGATCTTGTCGCACAGTTTCTCTATCAAAAAATATCAGTTTCACAGATTTCTATAAGAAAACTATCTGAGAATGCTTGGTTTAGATAAATACGTTATTGGCACGTATATTCGGGACGTCCACGCATCGTTCTTTTCCTTTTTCGAACAATCAACGATATATGTATATATTATATATATAGGCACGTACACTTACGAGGTATTGTTAAAGAGGGTCAATTAAAAAAGCTGGCTGTCGACCAACTAGCGAGGATGAATCGTAACGTATGTACGTACGTAGGTATCTGCGATGAACAAAAACGAGCGTAAATGTGAGTCGAGACACCGACGAGGTACTATTAAAGACGGCTAGCCCCGGATAAATTTTCGTGATCAACTATCAAGTGAACTCGGGGATAAGAAGAGTGCAGATATTATCGACCATTCGATATAAGCATATAACAGAAACAATTAGCCTACAATATTAAATATTAAATTTATAATTTATTATGTTATGTAGATGCTTCATAAACCAAGCATACGTAATAACGGCAAATATATATATTTCTACGAAACTGTTTTTCCACGGTGGTTAACCACGGATGATAATAGAAGTGCAGCTTTAAGAATTAAACAAGAATGAATGTGTCCAATGTGTCCATAGGTGTGCTATACATATATGTATATGCAATAAGTAAAATATCAGCAAAACGTTAGCAGTTTGCCAGTGCACAGAACGGATAAATAATAAATCGAAAATTAATGTTGACTAATCGTCTAATTTGATATTCTGGCGTGCAAATAATCTTGCTAATAACTATAAATTAAAATATTGGTACAAAACATGAAAAATATTGCAGCGACAAGATTTTTTGCATTAAATTTCTTCTGCTTTTAAATAATCAAGCTATCACTTTATTTGATACATATAGTCTTCTCACATACGTATATATGTATACATGTATTTAAAAATTCTTCTGAAAATACATTTTGTAAATTCCACAATTATATATATATATATATATATATATATATATTTTTTTTTTTAATATTTAGATATTTAAGCGTAAAATATATATAATGACTTTATTCATTGGCTATATTTTCTTGCAGTTGACGCAATTTTTTATATCTACTTCCATAGGAGAGATCTTTAAGTTTTTTTTTTGCACAAATAACTTTGTATTTAAGAGCTTGAAAAAATTGTTACAATTAACTTGGTTCTTTAAAAATATGCAAGCAAGACACTAGAAAGGCAATTCCTGCTGAAGAAAGGCTTAGTGTATATAACTATAAAACCTAAATAAAGATTCCTAGGTAAGTTCTATTTATTTAAGATTTCGGAACAAATCATCTCGGAAATTATTTCCGTGTGAATATCTTGTACAAGTTCTTCAGATCTAGCTTCCTTAATGAAACAATTTCATTTCTTTTTACCATAATTTTATTTCAAGGTAAACATAGTTTATATATTAGTTAATATTAACACGATTTAACAATTTTTAAGAAATTAATTATAAAATTAGTTATGAAAATGAAGAAGCTAATATGTAAACTCGTAGAAAATAAAAATAATTGAAATGATATTAAGTAATTTTGTAATACTATTGAATTCAACAGGTAATTATAGATTCGGTTCGGAAGAAATCACGTTATTGGAACCTCCAGATTGGTAGGAATATACAGAAAGCGATGGTGAAACAGCAGAATAATTAGTCGTAGGTGTAGGGGATCTTTGAGGAATCGAATCTTTGTATTTTCCTAATTCCGCTTCTATAAGAATCTCATTAATGTAACGTTTAGCCATTATACGTGAATAATTATCTAATTTCTTCAAAGTCAACGCCACGTATTCACCATAAGTCTCATTTTCATCTCGTAGAGATTCTTTCTCTGCGATAGTAGCCTTTAAAATATACATTTCACTTGGCTTGTTATCTTCGTTAATCTTTTTTTTCCTCGGACTACTTAATTCTGGAGAATGAAATACTTTCAAATGTTTTTTTCGTAACGGGATATTACGCAATCGTAAGCTTCTCTCTGATTCGTGTTGTAATGTAGCTTCTGCTTTCGGGCGTGTTACTTCTGTTTCATTAATGCTTTCGTGGTCCTTACGGTCATTATTTTCTTCCCGTTGACACGCCTCAGAAGTCTGAAATAATTATAGAACATCATAATACCAAAAATATATTACCTATAACTCATTTTGATAAGTTATATTACCAAAAATTATAATTGTGTTTAGCAATATACATTATATATAATATAATTAATTTTAGATTTTAGATATTAAGTTCTGTTGCAGAATCATACAATGTTTCAAGAAACCATTATAATAACTATTATTATAAATGTGGAACTTTCCACGTTTGTGTATTGAGTTCTATAAATGGAAAACAAGTGTGACTGCATTGCCTCTGTAATAATGTTTGCTTTAATTACAAAATCTATTTTTAATATTGTATTAATAGCTGTTTTGTATCAATAGCTTATTGACGCACATTACGAATTTTTATTTTCTCTTTTTGATCTACTCTAAAAAGAGAAGATGTATTGCCTCATTGAACGAATATCGTGATAAAATAAATAACTACTTTTCTTATAATTACTTTCGCACATATACAGTTGGCGTAGATATGGCAAGAAAGACAATATTAAATAAAATTTATGTGTTATTTTACATACAACAATAAATCATAAAAAATTAAACAAATAGAATGTTAAATCTTATCAATTTAATGTGATTTTACTTACATTATATTAAATATTAAAAAGAAATTATTTAAATTTATAAACTATGATCTATAAATGTGCATTTGTTTTACCTCAGAAGTATTTCTTGCACCTCTCGGTCTATAATGATCTCCCAAGAACATCATTGCACGATACGCAAACCATTTTGATGATACCTTCTTTTCGCTTCCCTTTGTAGAATCAATCACTTTAATTCTCTCTCTTCTATACGACGCCTAAAAAAAAGATAGTCATTTATTATCATAAATTACATACTAATTATGTTGAATATGAAATTATTGAACACGAGATAATTATGTATAATAATAATTCTACAAATTATAATTATTTTTTATTGTAATACACTATTAGAATATATAACAAATAAATATAATTTGTTTACATGCCTGTAACGAAAGCCATTTCTTTTTAACGTCCAGTACTGTCGTAAGGAATTTATTAGCGAGATTTTCCCACGTTTCATTTTTTTTCCTACTAATTTTATAATACGGATCTGAGGAATCCCATAGAATCGGCAGGCTTTCTATTTCACTAATAAATAATAAAACTTTATCGTTTGGCCACTCCATTATTTCATTATATAACTCTCTCTTTACAATATATATTATCTTTATTTAATATAGTTTACAAAAGAGATTTGACTTCGACGAGGCTTCAATTCTGTGTACGAATGCCTCAGCTGAGAAAATATATTAACCCGTCCAGACAGGTCGAGCATGAACGATCACGAATGATTGTTTCTCTCCCGTCTCTCGTGTATTTCTGTCCCTACTAGGGCAAAGTAGTGGACAAAGTAGCATGATTTATGATGAGATTTGATATCTCATTGTCAGATTATTATTATTATTTGTATTTCCGTCCCGTAAAGAGCACAATATATTGTCGAGTTGCATTAGACTTTTATGATTTTGGATAATTTTATGTCTATCAGATTAATATCTTTCCTTTCAAAGATTTTTTTTTGTGAGACAACAGAGTCGGGAATCGAATCTGTCCTCTCCACCTGACAGACGAGTGTTTTGTCACTAAGCTATCCGGCAATTCCAGCAGTGTCCAGCACCTTACCGAGTGCTTTTCCTCTGATAAACATATCGACGAGAGAAGAAACCGAACGTATTTGTCGATGTTCATTTGGGGCTTGGGCTCGTTCGTACGTCGGTCGCTCTCGTCGAGTTCGTTCGTAGTTCTTCATTCGCGCTTGTTCGTGCTCGCTTTTGCTTGAAAAAGATCAGGCCAATCCTGAGCAAATTTTCTTGATTATTATCAAGCGAGCCCGATAGGTCCGGGAGTAATTGGAGTATCGACATTATTATCAGTACTTTACGATAATGATTGATTATACTTTACTGCAATATTGGCTAATCGTTCAGATATATATTTATGTCGAACGATATCGAATTGAGCACTCGATAATATTTGTATAACTCTTCAGTTATTTCCACGATAATCACGAAATTTACTCAGGACTTGCAATTTTTAGTATCTCGTCAGTGTTGGCCGTATTTTTTGCGTACTGATAAGAAATCAAACCGATTATTCATCTACCAATGAAGTACTGATGGAGGATAGGTCCAGAGTCAAGTGAACGAACGCGAACGAACACGAATGAACTACGAACAAACTTGATTCGACGAATAATCGAGACGGAGTCATCAGTATGAATATGAATGAGTCAAATGTCCACTAGATAGTTCAGCAAGAAAATCGTTTTTTAGGTGGACTCGGAATTATTTTTCAGTATTATTCATATATTTAGATGTGGAAAAATATTATTCCACTATACAAGAAACACATTTCAAAAATATAATGGAAATCAAAGTTATTTGATGTGAAAGCAATTGCCCATTAAAGTTGAATGCCTTAGAAGTAGAGAGATATTTTCGTGAATGTACCTGAGGCTGCTGAGGGTTCTTTATCAAAATTTTTTATACAGATAAATATGAAAATAATAGAAATTATATATATAAATTATAGAAATATACTAATCACTAATATTAAGTCTCTTACACTGAGAAAAAAGTTAACTTTATTAAATCCGTTCAGCTGATTACTATTTTTTAATTGAAATATTCAAGTATTTAAATTAAATGACATATTAAATCTAACATAACGTAATTTGACTTAAATACTTAAATATTCTAATTTAAAAAATGATAATCAGTTGAACGCATTCAAGTTAACAATTTTTTTCTTCAGTGTATAAAGAAGATTGTGAAGATTGTCTTCTATGTAAATATTTATGGAAATCATCCTAATTTCTCTTGGATATTATTAAATCGTAATATTGTGATTCTAATTGAAAATTCAATGGCAATGAAGAAACCTAAATGTACATTGACGAATATATTCCATCTCTTGTTGATACGTCACAGAACAAGCTTTCATTCAAGTTTGTCGTAAATATTTGTACGCGTTCGTTCTTGTTGGCTGATATAGATTCGTCTCAAGAAATTTTATAAAAATAAATTTTTCGATCTTTTACTTATAAAAAAATATAGAATAGCGACAAATTAATAATATTATTATATTATATGGCAATAGTCGAATTATACAAAACACATGTATATTCGTATCAATCTGTTGCTGTTATTATCACAAACCGTACTTCTCAATTATTTAAATACAGACAGACGTCTATCACTAATAAAATATTACAGGACACTTTCGGCAGATTATCCTATTTCACAATGTTTGCATTTTTTGCGTTATGAAACAAATAAATGTTTATCAGATGAATAATAAGAAGGTATTGAAAGCTATAGGAAATACAGCTAAAAATACAACAAGTCCAATTTTAAAATATAGCAAATCTAATTGCTCGCGTATATATTTGTATTTGTGTATGTCGGGTATATTTTATTGTATTTGTATATCCCGGGGATATAAAAATCTAGAAAGTAATATACACATATATAGGAAAAATGATATTGCATAAAACTTTCTTTTTTTTCCCTTAAAATCGAAAAGGCTCGTATACACACACACACACAGTTCCAAGTTTAAAATATAATTATGCTTTATAGGATATGATCGCAATTGCTCAAACTTTATCCGAAATTCAATCGTCTGGTAAACCCTCTTAAAAGGAAAAACAAAGAAAGAAAAAAGTTGTATAATCTTATAGAAATTCTTCAATAAAAAAACATCTTATTAGACTAAATTATCCAATTTGCATTTTTTATGAGCGTTACTAAATTGCGAATCTAATCGTTAAGTCATTAATTCTTATTATATTTACATCGTACATGTCATTCGCAACATTCTTGAAATAGCCTTGCAAGCGACTTTAGTTAGTAATATGTTCCATTCATAATAAAAAAAACTTGAATCATAAAGTTAAATTAATATTAACCAATGTCACTGCAGCCGGCTTGAAGAATCTAACTTTAAACAAATAACAGTTTCGATTGCGATTGACCACTGCTCGTTTGCGATTGATAGCAGGGGAGGATACAAGAAAGCCTAATTTAAATACCCAAGCGACTGAAAACATCTGCTTTCTTGACGCGCGTCACTGTTGCCACTTTACTGAAAGTCACTTGTTTGATGGCAGGAGTACTGGTTGTGCCCAGGCGTGCTTTGGCTGGTATCGAGATAAGTCGTTCTGAAGCTGCAATAATAAAATCAAGAAATCAAGAAAAACTGTTCCTCTGTATACAACTATACCTACAGATTAATGAAATATGTATAAACCTAATTTGCCAGATGTAACAGCAGGTTTCGTAATACTTTTGATGCTCAGTTTAACATTACTAGGAGGTACTACTTCCTTTTTCAGCTTCAGTATACGGTTTGTATTATTCAAAGTAATCTTCTTGCTGACTTCATGATCGGCATGCATAGTGCCGGTGGTCTTAGGCACGACTCGCTTTGTCGTTATGATTGACGTGCGTATGCTAGGCGACGTTCGGTTTTTCAATATACCTGGTGTACCAGTAGTGCCCGATCCATTCTTAAGTATTCCTGTGGTAATTGCGTGATCCTTCTTGTCGTCTATATCGCCGAGACGCTTAAAAACGCTAGTCGATCTCTTAAACACATCCTTACCAACTCCGGTAATATTGAAAGTAGTCGTCGTGTCAGCTAAATTGGTTGTGCTCGTAACTGAGCTATCACCTAATCTATCAAATACTGTTCGTTTTTCAACAGGTTTCTTCAGTATCTGAGTTCTTACTGTTGTTACCTTTGGCGTCGCAGCAGTATATTCAACAGTATTGTCTTCATTACCATTTGTCACCTTTATTTTCTTTTCCAAGTTATTCCAATTATCTTCATTGTTTTCATATACCTCTTCCGATACCAATTTTCTTTTGAGAGCTATCTGTTTTTGATTAACAGTACTAGTGGCGACCGGAGTAGAAATTGGTTTCCTTACAGTCACAATCTTCTTCGCTGTAGATAAAGGTTTAACTATCTTCTTTGTAGGATCAGTTTTAGACGCCGTCAAAATCATAGTCTTATTTCCAATTTCTTTGACCACTTTCTTCACGACAGGTTTCGTAGAAACTTTCGGAGTCGGAAGGGTGTCTTCTGAATCGACTAAAAATCTTTCGCACGTCGTTTCCTCCACTACTTTCTTGGCGTATCTCAAAATAGCAATCATATCGCCCATTAACGTGATGCCCATTTCTTTTAGACTAGGTTTATCCAAATCTGGCAACATATCCGGTTTGATATGATTATTCGTGAATACAACTGCATGTCTAGTGGCCACATCTTGCGAAAATCCAGCTCCCTTGAAGAACTTCACCCAATAAGCTACAAAATTATGGTATGGATTACATATATGTAAAAGAGAAACGTTTCAGAGACAAACACAATTTACAAATGTATCAAGTATATAAGTTACGCATATAAATTTTAAATTGCTGAAGCATTTAGAGCGAGTAAAGTATGGCATCAAGTTATTTACTGTTTACGTATTTTTCAAAATATTGTAAATTGATAGTTTTAAAGAATTGAAAGATTGCTGGAACTTCACGACTCACCTGACAAGGATGCAGCCATTTTAATAGTTGAAGTACGCGGCGAATTTTGCCCTGTATGTTCAATAATCAAGTTAGTCGAGAAACCGGGCCCGGGCTTCTCTTTCTCAAGAATAGAGCTCTGACGGTTTTTCGTACATTTTGCGAAGAGCCGCCGCGATTAATCTCCAAGTTGCAATCGGGAGTTAGCAGTCAAATCAGAAACAGACAGAGCTACTTCATCAACGATCTCTAATTGCTCTAATTCTAAATCGTTTCTGGCTCTATTTCATACAACGCCGAGAGAAATTATTAATAAACACGAGAATTTCTCCGAGCCTCCACCATGCCTATATATGTATACACGATTTGTTGCACATATGTATGTCGTACATATATGTATACAAAAGCGATTCACGACATTCACGTAAATGCGTACACGAACTAAACGGGACACGTAGACGAGCCAGACGAGGAAGTTAGCGATCGTCGCGCCTAACTGCGGCAGGAACTGCAGGAAGCGATACGATAGCCAATGGCTGCGTTCAGCCGAACCTCTGCTTAGCGAAGCGAAAGGTAGCAATTAAGTGTAATTGGTTGGATCCAAAGGTAGGAACCAATCACATTCAGTTGAGAATTGAGAATTGAGAATTGAGAATTGAGAATTGAGAATTGAGAATTGGGAATTGGGAATTGGGAATTGGGAATTGAGAATTGAGAATTGAGAATTGGGAATTGGGAATTGAGAATTGGGAATTGGGAATTGGGAATTGGGAATTGAGAATTGAGAATTGGGAATTGGGAATTGGGAATTAGGAATTGGGAATTGGGAATTGGGAATTGAGAATTGGGAATTGAGAATTGGGAATTGAGAATTGGGAATTGGGAATTGGGAATTGGGAATTGAGAATTGAGAATTGAGAATTGAGAATTGAAAATTGAGAATTGGGAATTGGGAATTGGGAATTGAGAATTGGGAATTGAGAATTGGGAATTGAGAATTGGGAATTGGGAATTGAGAATTGAGAATTGAGAATTGAGAATTGAGAATTGGGAATTGAGAATTGAGAATTGAGAATTGAGGATTGATTCAATTATCCTCTATTATCAATTCTCAATTCTCAATTCTCAGTGTCCCAGTCTTGGCAGGCGAGGCACGAGACACGATACCCGAAATGCGTGGCATCATGGCATAGCCGGCGCGTGCCGCCGCGGCCATATCCCCTTCAGCTGGCTAGTTCGTACACGAACCATTAGTACGGACGCAAACCATGTGCGGTTACCGAGCGAAACGACGTAGTTGAGTTGCACTTTCTCAGGCGGCGCGTCGGAAAATGCAACACACGAAAAAGGCCGGGATGGCCTCTCTCAGGTTTCTCTGTGCTTTGGCCTAAGACTAATGTTTATGTTTGTGTTTGTGTGCTGTTCTCGTCGGTGATGTTTGTAAACTGTAGCGAACGTCAAAGGTGGTCAAAGGGAGCAAAAGAAAAGGGAGCGTCCGGCATCGTGGACGTGGACGTGGACGTGGAGTGGAGTTCAGTGGAGCTATCATATGCAGATGAGGGTTGCATGATTCATTGGGCGCGTTATTGTTATCGCGAAAAAAATGGTTCGCACCGACTGGGATCGGATATTATCCGTAAACGCTTCGTCTTTAACAGACGAAGAAATCGAGGACCTTTTCCCTACGGTGGTCCGATGCGACGTGGACGAGATCGCCGACGTACACGGTCTGCGGACGCTCGTGAGATTGTCGCAAGAAATGTTGACTTATAAAGATAATCAAGTAGGGAAATTATATATTATTATGGATTCGGGGAGCGCGCTATTAGCGCTATTTGCTTGTTCTATCCTTGTTTTACATCTGATGAGCGATAAAGAAAAAATGATGCAATAGCGCTAATAGCGCGCTCCTCGAATGCAGTCTATGCATTCATATTAAATGACTAATATACTAGTATACTTCATCATAAATATTGTGTGGTAATACTTACCCCAATATTTGTTTTTGTTAGAAAAAGAGCTTGCTTGCGGAAATAAACTTTTATAAAATAAATCTATTAATGTTAGGTTGAGGCTTTGCTTCTTGAGTGTGGCGAGTTGAAAGAAACGATAGCTTCGTTACGTCCAGAGACTGCTAAACGAAAGATCAAAGGTAGGATGTTGTCAAGTTTGTATATTTATATATGTGTTTAAAAATTACTTCTCAAATAAAAAGTATTTACATGATGATTATTTTGACAGATCGTGATGCAGTAAGACAAGAAAATGATAGTTTTGCTAGTGTAAGTTTTTTTTTATCTGTAATATATCATTAAGAGTATTCCGTTTTATGCAATAATTTAATTTTATGTGAAGGATACAAATTTAAGGGGCTATTCAGACGCACAAGGCAAAAGTGAAAAAGTTAAGACACTTATGGCTGAACTAGAGGTACGTGTATATAATAAAAATGTAAATAGTAAAAATTATAGTAAAGTCTCATTGTTATTGCTCTTTATTTTTCAGAATTTGGATAAGGAGAATGAAATTCTTAAGGAACAGCTAACAACATTGAGAGATGAGATGGAGGATGCGACAGAAAAAATGAACGAAATGACAGAAGAACTTTGTTCAGCCCAAGTAAAAGCTGTGGAATACAAAGGTACCTATATGTGAATAATATATATACTTTTTATATGTAATAAATTTGACGTTTGGATAAATGCATAAATATTATGCCATTACAGAAAAGATATTGAAATTGGAGCAAGAAAATATAGCTTTGGTTACACAAATTGAAGAAATAACAGCACAACAAATAGACAGAGATAAAATGTTGGATGAATTTGGCCTAGCTATTGATGCTAGAATATCTGAATGGAAGGTATTAAATAAATCTGATATAATCTTTGTAGAATTTTAGAAAATGCTTTTAGATAAATTGTGTGTACAGGAATTTGTGTTATTTATGTTATAAGGGCGTATTGGATGAGAAAGATATGGAGATAACACGTTTGAAGGAAAGCTTGTCGCATTCTTTAATGCAATCGATTACGTCAGTCAAGGAAGAAAATAAAACACAGATTATTCATCTAAATGACGAAATAGCCCGTCGAGATGCGATTATAGCTGAATTGCAAACTAAACTTTCTGAAGCGGTTGTTGAAATAAATGAGAGTGCTGCACTTATGGAAAAATTAAAAGGAGACGCACACGAGTAAGCGATATTATCTATTTATATTTGTAATGTTTTTTATTATTTATTTAGAAAGTTATTACTTTATTTTATAGGTCTGTAAGAAGCGATAAACGAAAAGAACAGAAAAGTTTGTTAAAAAAGATGCAAATTGCAAATGAAAAGATCTCTAATTTGGAAAACGCATTGTCGCAGGCACAGGATGATGCCAAATCACAGAGCAGCAAAGTCAGTATTTATATTTTTTTTATTAATTTATGCTATTCTGCAGAGTTATTGCCATTTATTTCAAGCTATATAAGTCTCTTGCTTAATATAGAACTAATTTTTTCTTAAACAATTCGAAATATATGAAAATTTTACTACTACCTTACAACTTTTATTTTTTGTATTAAATATTTTATAATTATTCACGAATCAAGTTATTCATTTATATTCTAGAAACTTGATGAACAGAATTTATTTATTGTCTATTGTTTGCAATTACGAAACATCGGTATGTGAGTTTTTATTTTTATCTTTTTGTAAAAGAAAATTTAATTAAAAATGATATATCAACAAGTATATAATAAAAATGGCAATAATTCTAGAATACTCTTTATACTTATTTGTTAAATGGTTAAATGAAATAATAAATTTATATATATTTTTTATATAGTTATGCGAGGTATTATCTACATTAAAAAAATATCAAGATGGAAATCAGGCTTTAGCTAGAGCATTGAACGAAATTAAAGAATTAAAAATTAAAATTGATCACAAGAATGAACATATTGAAGATTTAACCAATGTTATTAATAAATTGGAGATGTTAAATTCGTATCAAGAAATGGAGATCTTAACCCTTAGGTAACATTTTCAAAAGTATTATTTAATTTACATTTCTTATGTTTGAAGGAAACAGATATAACATTATTTTTACATATCACAACAGAGAAAAATTAGGGATTCCAGAAGATGAATCAATATCGATTAAAAGTGTTGTAGCAAAACGTAAAGAGGAATCAAAGAAACTGGAAGAGCTTGTTCGACAGAATAAAAATCTTGTAGCGGAAAATTTAGAATTAAAATCAGATGTAAGATGATTAAATTGAAAAATTAGTTTTATAGAATTTACGAAATATACAAAATATACGTGTCTTTTCTGTTTAAGATATATATTTTAAGATACTAGACGAATTTTTATTACAAATTTTTACTTTTCGTAGATAAGAATGTTAAAATATAAATTGAGCAAGTCTGAGAAGGTATTAGATATTTCAGAGAACTTAAATGATTCTAGTAATCAGTTTTTACATTCGACTAAATTAATCGAGTCGGAAAATATACAATTATCTTCCAAAACTGATATTTCTGAAGTTAATCAAAATATTCAGATACTTATAGAAGAAAATGAGGCACTTAGAACGGGCATGCATGAAATCATGGACAGTATACGCAATCAAGATGGTGAATTTTCGCTAACTTTAACGGTACTTTAGTATTGCACACATTTCCGCTTCTGACACCATGATATTTTCTTCTACCTAGTTCTTTTTTATCTTTTGTTTAATATAATACTTATTATGTTAATAGAATTCTCTGCTGAATCTGCTGAATTTTTTACATTTTCTACTTATTTTGAGTAGATACAGAACATTGCTGATCTTGTGCTTTTAATAATTGCTTTAAGAAAAGAAGCTCATATTTATGCACATTTCTTGTTTTAGGTAAGAGTGAAGTGGAAATACAGTCCAGTACATTGGAACGATTATTGGAAGCTTTAGATATTAGGCATTTAGCTGGTTGGTACCATCCAGCTATGAGATTGCAGGAACATCTTAATGTTATACAGGGTAGTAATGCTGAATTAAGGTCACAACTTAAATCGCTGAGGTATTTTTCGAATTTATCATCAAAGTAGTATTACTATTTTTCATTATAACAATGAAATAGTTTATAGATTTTGTTATAATCTTCGTTATAATTTGTAAATTGTTACTATGTGATTTACAGAAAAGAATTGCAAAGGAAGGATAATATTTTACGAGATCTAGCAGCGAATAAAGATATAGATTTCGAAAAATTGTACGAGAAACATGGCGAAGAGGAAGTGATAACAATGTATCTTGCAGAAATGAAAGCTTTGCAAATGGCATATAAAAATGAAACAGAAGAATGGGAAAAGCAGAAAGATTTGCTGGTTCAAGAAAATAATGATTTGAAAGATGAGACAGATGGTCTTAAAAAGCAACTAGAAATTT